AACCAGACCTTCACTTTACACACTATTTCCTGCAGGAGAAGTTGTGGGCTGGAGGGATTTCTCTAGGTTCTGAGTTTTGCTGGCCTGGAGAAGGGGTGATGTGGTCAAAGTGAAACTGTTCTTGCTACTATTTTCAGTGTGTCTGATCTTGGATTTTTTGGTCCGTGAAAATCCTGGAATAGTTCTACTGTACTCAAGTGTTCTTACAAGATATTTTCATCCATGCATGGTTGTCAAATCAGTGTTTTTCTATAGGTTGAAGCTGGGGACCTCCTATTTTTGCCATCTGGCTGACATCATTCTTTTTAGGCCTAGTTAACAATCTAATTTACAAGCCTTTAAATCTAGTTAACAATCTCTGCCTTTTAATTGGAATATTTAGAGCAGTTACATTTAATTTAATTATCACTGTGTTTGGATTTAAATTCACCATCTTTCCATTTTTTTCTATTTGTCCCATCTATTCTTTGTAATTTTTTTTCCATTTATTCTGCTTTTGATTGATTTTGTCTTTTTAAAAATGATTCTGTTTTGTAGCTCAGCCTTGTTCATTTCTTTGTTATTTTTAAATCATACTACTGCTTTATATGGATTGGTTTTTATCATTCCATTATGTATCATCTACCCTGGTTTTCTGTTCTTCAGGTTTTGCTACTTCCTTATCATTTTTGGATCGATTTAACATTTTTTTAACTGATTTTTTCCTGCTATATGGATCTTATACATTTATTTTTTACTCTTTTTGTGAGATTCCTTCAAATTTTAACATATTCTTGATAGCAGAACCAAAAGTTATTTAGTTAATTGTTCCTCCCCGAAAAGCATAAAGGACTTAAAGACCTTTAACTTTTATGATGTGCTTTTATGTTTTTAGTTTTGTTTTCCAGTATTTTAGTTCTTTTGAAATTTTTTTTCTACTTATTATTAAGATTTTTTCAGAATATCAATGTCTGTTTAACTCTACCTACAATTTTATTAATTTCTTTGCTTAGGTTTTCTCTTCTTGCATCTCAGTCTTCCTTCTCAAGTCATTTTTCTTCTTCCAGAATTTATCATTCCTCCAAAATCTGAGGATTCATTGCTCTTATCAGTTCTGGAAATTTTTCTCCCAGAATTCCTCTGAAAATTTATCTTTTTCCCCATTTGCTTCTCTGGAACTCCTATTGAGTATGTTTTAGATTATCTCATTGATTTCTTCATCTCTCTTATATTAATTTTTTTTTATTTTTTCTTTTCTGCCTTCTGAGTAATTTCTTCAGATATTTATTGTGTTTCATTATTCTGGTTCCAACTGGGCCTAATCTGATGTTGATTCTGTTTGAATTTTTAATTTCACTGCACTTCTCACTCCCTTCATCATTTTAGTGTAAATAGGTTATTTTTCAAATATACTTTCTCTTTTTTATGGTATAAATTTTCTTTCTCATGTTTTAGTACCACTTTTATGTTTTCATGTGTTTTAAGGATATAGTGTATCACGTTTCTATTTTAGGTAACTGAAATTCCATTATCTGAGTTTCTTGATGGTCTAATTTGGTAGTCTCTTGTCTCTTCTGTTGTTTCTCATTTCGTGCTACACTTCATAATTCTGGCTGATGAAGTCATGTTTATCAGGCCTTTATCAGTAGAATAGCCCCTTTGGCCTATGTTGTGGGTGTATTTCTGTAGAGTTTTTATGCTTGCTTTTACTTAATGCTCCTAGGTTATTCTCAAGCAAAGCCAAATTTTATGTTAATTTCTCTCTTAAGATATCTTGTACCACACAGAAAATACAATAAAGATTCAAAGCCACTTGAAAACAAACCATTGTGTAGGAATTCACGCAGGAGTTTTTGCTTTCCCTCATTCCTCCACTTCATCCCCCCCCCCCCCAACTCTGATACAGAAGCTTTCTTGTTTTTTCCCTTTTGTAATCAAAATATTTTTCCTGGGCCACTGTTTCGCTTATAGTTTGCCTTTTCTTTTTTTTCCCCCCCTCACAAGTTTAAGAGTTTTTTTCTTATCTCTTTAGGCTGGTGGTAAATTATAACACTCTGGAATACTCAGATTGGCATGAAATGAATTGGGGACTCAGCTGCTATTAGGTTTATAGTTTTCTCCTCGTTTTTAGTGCACACTTCTCTCTCTCTCTCTCCCTGTCTTCCTTTCTTCTTTTCTCTTTTTCTCTCATTGTTGAAATGTTATGCCATAAGATCTTTGTTCTGTTATGTTTCATTAGGTGATTTTTAGCAGCAGAATTTTTCAGGATATCTGGTACACCATATGGTTGGAAATGGAAATCTTTTCCTGTATTTTTAAATGTCATTTCTATCCTCCCACTGTCTATCTTCTCTGCTTGTTTTATTTTTTCAATTAGAAATATACTACTTAAAAATTGTCATAGTTTAAATCTGTAATAATTTGAAAACATAAATTTTAATTTGTCTTTAAGCTTTCTTTTCAAGAGCCTAGTTTTCTAGTGCAAGTTTCAGTTCTTATGGAAGAACTGTCACTTCAGTGACATTGCTGAGTAAAGAGTGAATTCTTTTGTATTTTGCTTCAGGATTGAAGTGGTCTCCACATTACAAAGTTAATTTTTTCACTTCTAAAGTTCTGGGATCCATTATGCTTCTTAGGAATGGATTCCAACTTTCATAGAATTCAAACCATTATATAACCCTTTGCTTTCTTCCTCTTCCCTTTGTTTCTGCTTTGAAACTGAGCTCTATCTTGTAGTTCTCTACCTAATTCACTGGTATGAGTGTACATTATCCATGTTACATTCCTACCATGAGAGGGACAACTTCGTCTTTTTGTTTACTCATTTTCTACAGTTCTCCATTGGGACATTCTCCCAAAGATCTGAACATCATAATTCTCATTTGCTCCCTAAGCACCAAGATCACCAGTCTTGTCTACGCAAATTCACAATTCTTTCTGTTTGGTCCAACACAGCTTTAAGCCTCTATCTCTTATTTTTGTTTCTTAATTCCAGCCCTATTTGATGACGATAGTCATTTTCCACAGAGATTCGCAAATATAGGTGTTAACCAAAGGTTTCTAAAGGATTCTATCATATAAATTAATATCTGTAATACCTAGTAGATATTAATTCTCTTCTAGTGGATATTGGAGCTCCAATCAGACTCTGATCTTGTATAATGTATGATATTTGTTGCCTGTCCAGAACTCCCATACTTTTAAGTAGTTGTTGCCTTTGAGGCTTACTAGACTAATGTAGAGCACATATTAAAGCCTTTCCAATCACCTTTATTCACTGCCTAACTTGGCACGGTTAGTGGAGAAGACTGTTGTATTTAAAACAAGCTGTTCAATTTCTCCATGCAAAATTCATATATTTTATGCACTGCTCACTGTTTAAGTAGTAATGGTTTCTTGTTACAATCCTATAATCAATGACCAATCATTGTAAAATGTATTCCTTCCATATATGCTTAATCATTCTATAAAGTTTTGGGGGGGAGATGAAAGGAAGAGTAGTGTGGGCTAGGTGGTCTGATGTTTATTCCATCATATTAATTCTTTGTATCTTAAACCAGATGATTAACTTATGTAGAGTTTCTATAGTTATGATTTGTTCTTATATCATCCAAATTGGTCCAAAATGTTTTATTTTAAAATCTCTAATCCTTACCCAATTCAGAGAATTCCTCAATTTCACTTTTGGTACAAATAATTAACTGCATGTCAAACATCAACACAGTCACAAAAAAAAAAATTCAGTTAGTGATTCAAAGTTTCTTACCTTCTTTTCATTTTTAACAAATAAGAAATCTATCCTCATTGTTTTTTTTAGAGAAAATAGGAAATAGGAATCTGATTTATATGATCATTTTCATTCCTATCGAGTTTTCTCAGATCTAGTTTCATTGATTTTTTTTTTTTTTTTGGATGCGGTGTTAGGAAGCTTAGTGATTATGATTGTGTCTTCTGAAACTTTTAATTGTAGTCTGGCATTTAAATATGGTTAATTAGGTACCAGATTTGTATCTAATTAATTCTTAAGCACTTCCTTAACCAAAATTTATGTTTGACCAAGTCGGTAGCAACGAATTCACCAGAATTTATCAAAAGCACAAGAAAACCATTTAAATAGTAAAAAGCTAGTAATTGAGTAATAGAATGAGTTGTATGTTTACGTTGAATGCAGTATATTGAAAAACATTTTTACAATTATTTATAGAAATTTTCCTGGAAGGGATATAATTTGCAAGATATTTGAAGAAATCAGTAAGTTGAGGTACAGATCATCATGAGTCCATTCATCCATGCTCCCAACTAGATTAGAGGTGCAAATTAGCATGGTAGAATTGAGCAGAACTAACTGGCTTGTTGAGGGTTTGAACTCATGACCACACCTCACACTTTAACAGGTAAAATTTATCAGTCACTTAAAAGGATAAGCCTCTTGTTAATTTTAGGAGTCAAGCTGGAATAATTATTATAAGCAAAAAGGTAGTTAATTATGGATCAGAATGATTCCTTAATTATTTTATAAATTTAAGTTTTGGAACATAGAGCTGGAAGTTTTAACGTGCTGTATTTCCTCTTGTTTTTAAACCTGAGTTTACTTTGTGGAATGAATGGAGCAGAAGCCTCAGGATGTGCTTTTTAAAGATTTTTAAAGTACATTTCTTTAAGTACATTTGATTGTTAGAGTAAATTTCTTAGAGTACCGTTAATTTCAAAGAGCTGTCTTAATTTTGCTCATATGCCCAACCATATATTATTCAAAATCCAAAGGGACCAAAAAGTTTGGGTAAAAGTTATATATGCAAATGGTTTCTTTGTGTTGTGTTTGAACGTACAATTGGAGATATTTGAGGTTTATAGGTAATATCTTTTAATTTTTACATATGTTATTTATATCCTATGAATGCAAGAAAAAATAAGGACCTCGAGAATTTGTTTTCCCCTGCTTCTAAATACGTAAGCAACCTTATTTGTTCTAAAATCACATTTATTTGTGATAATTTTTTCATATTGTATTTCTATTTTAGGCTAAAAATCTCATAGAGAGATTTTTTAATCAACAAGTAGAAGTTCTAGGCAGAAGTGCACAACCATTGCCTGAAATATACTATATTGAAGGTACTCTCCAAATGATTTGGATTAATCGCTGCTTTCCAGGGTATGGAATGAATAGCCTGAAACATCCAAAGTGTCCTGAGTGCTGTGGTATGTAATGAGCTATGATTTAGTGGTTTATATTTATGAAAATTCACTTCTTTTCATTATGCCTAAGCAAATGCCTATCACTTATTTTTACTAACATTTAGATATTTCTTTAGTTTATTTGGAATAGTGCATTTGAAAAGACTATGTGAATCTGAAAGTATAAAAGAAAAAAAGCTAGCTTAATTTCAGCCTTGGTATTAATATTACACTAAAGAGGGGTTGGGAGTGTTAGGCAGTTGTGTGGGAGGAAACGTAAATAATAGGTACGAATCACTTAGAGTTACTTACCCTAAAAAAAGCCAAATTATAGTTCTTTTAGAATCAATTATTGATGAGTTTACATTTGTATTAGTCTAAATTAGGTATCTCTTTACCTTTTTTTTTTTGAAATAAGTATATGAATTGTTTTATTACCAGTTTTTCCTGTTTATTCTGACTTATGATCCTAGTACTAAAGGATCTGAGCTGCTATCTGGCTTTCATTCATCTTCATCCTTGTTATAGAAGCGAGTTCCCTAGAGGCTGTTTAGGATTTTATGGGATCATTATTATTGCTCAGTATACTTATTGACTAGTGATTTTCTAAATTTCATTTTTTGGCATCCTGTAGTAAATAAATATTTCAATTTAGAATTACCTCATTAAGCAAGATTGAGCTCCTTTTTTGAGCAGAACTCGTTAAGTATAATGTGGCCTTTAGGTTCCCATCTATGCAGTAATTTTTGTATTAAACAAGTATATCACTCAGATTTTTAAAGAGCACATAATTACTCAAAAAGACATTTAAATCATTTTCTGAATTGGAAGGCAGTATAAAATATAATGCTAGTTACAAGACAAAATTAACATACTAAACGACCTTAAAATTTATTTAAGTCTGACTGGAGTACTAGATAGAAGCACATAAAACATATGAGGTACTTTGTAAAACGACTTATTTTCAAAATAGAGACATAACCAGTTTATGTTCAGCAAAGAAGATTGAGACAGGCGTGTTTGTTATGTGAGGAAAGTTTATTTACTTTCTCAGGAGTAGGGTAAGTAAACAGTGGATGTTTACTAGGGGAGACTTAACATTTTTACCTGTATTATTTTTCTCATTTCTAGTTTGTTTAGCATTTTAAATTAATTATCACTGTAAAATACTTCTCTAACTTCACATTTAGCATTGCTTATTATATGCATCATTTTGTCAATCATTTTGACACTGCAAAAAGAAAAAGTTCCAATTAAGTTTGTGAACTATAGATGTCTCATAATTTCATGTTATAATCGTAAAGATACTACAATCAAAGACTAGCTAGAATATTATATTGTGTGTGATAGAATTTTTTTAAAAACACAGATTCTGAAATATGTTTTATTATGTAATTTCTGTAGTTTCTATTATTTCTGTAAAATTCTATATCTTGGTTTCATCTTTCTTCATTTTATCCCTATTTAATCAACTTGAAAAAACATTTGTATGTCAAGTAACATTTTTTGACATAGTATCCCACTCTATCTTCTTTTTCTTCCTTTTTAAATTATGGTTTTAAAACTCTATGTATCAAAATTATCTGAAGATTTTCTCAAAAATATATCCCAGATGTGAGAACCAGACATCTACATTTATAATAAGTGTCCTAAGTGATTCTGATGCACGTGAAAGTTGGAGAGTCCTGACTATTAGTGTTGATATGGTGATACCTGGATAGGATGCCTTTCCTTTACTGGGTCAGCAGACTGTTTTTCATTGAGTATTGTGGTTTGAATGTATGGCTCAAGAATAGTTCATGCAGCATTGTTGTTTTCTGTTGCTTTCTTTATAAATAAGATTTGCCATTGCACATTCAAAGCTTTTGGGAGTCCTAGGGAGACTCAAGCACAGTGATATACTGTCTGTGTCAGTGGTCAAAAATAATTAGGTGACAGGTTAGAGTATTTAAACATCTTGAGATGATTTTATTAATAAAGGGTACCTTTGTACTTTAATTGTGCAGTGAAAGTGAATTGTTTAGTAGATACAGTTGTTTTTAATAAGATCTTTTAGACTCTAAAAATTTATCCTGCTCAGACATGCAACCCTGAACCTTTGTTTTAATATTAAATCAAGGACCAAGAAAAATAATTAAAAAAAAGAAGCTGATGTTGACAAAACAGACTTTAGGGCAAGAAATCTTACTAGGTACACAGAGGGGCATTACATGATGATAAAAGGATAGATCTATCAGGAAGATATGATAATATAATATTTCTAAATTTGTGAGTACTTAATAACATAGGTTTAAAATACATAAAAAAAATTGTCTGCAAGGTAATCCTGGCATGCAAAGCTATGCAGAAAAAAATGAAATTGTACATAGCCAAAAAATCACCACCAGATATAGTATAGACATAATACATAAAGAAAAACTGTTAATATTTTAGAACATGACATAGGAAAATATCATCATGTCTTTAACATCAGAAAAAGAGTTCCCAAAGAGACACAAAAATTACTAACTTTAATAAAAAAGATTTGTAATTTTGTCTACTTAAAAATTAAATATTTTTATCAAAATATACTACAAAAAGAGAAAAGATAATCCACAGAAGTGGAAAATTATTTGTAATGGTTATAACCAACAAAAGACTAGTACCCAGAACATATAAAGAACCTGTAGAAAACAGTTAAAGAAAAAACAAAACAATTTTTAAAAATGGGAGAAGATTTGAACAAGTACTTTACAAAAGAGTAATTCCAAATGGTCAATGGATACATGAAAATATGTTCAACCCTTTTGTAATCAGTGAAATGTGAATTAAAAACAGAATGAGAGCCTACTTACACAGCTATCAGATTGGCAAAAAGTAAACAGTCTAAACATACTAGGTATTCAAAAGGACATGGAGCTCCAGGAGCAGTCATATACTGCCTGAGTGAGTATAGGTTATGCCACTTGGGAAAACAGTTTGGCGCTATAGTGAATGTGACGAAGTACATACTCTATGATCTGGCATTTGACTCAGGGAAATTTCATCCCATCATATTTTCTAATAGTCCCAGACTAGAGACAACCCACATGTCCATTAACAGTAAAATGTATAAATAGTGATATATTCATACAATGGAATGCTATACAGGAGTGAGAGTGAAGGGAATTAAAACTGTATAGATACATTTTTTTAAACATAGCTTGTGGAAAAGAAGCTAAACACAATAGAGTCCGTGTAATTTAGACATGGCTAAACTGTCTTATAGAAATTTCTTCATGAATGCTAAAACTATGCAATCTAAAGAAATGATTACCGTAAAAAAAAAAGAGAATAGTGTTGACTTCTGGAGGTGGGGAAGGGAATGTGATTGGTGTGGGACACAGGAGGAGTTTTGAGGTGATGGCGCTTTCCTACATTATGGCCTAAATTTTTTTCTAGACAGGTTTTCTATGCAAATATTCATTGTATTGTATATTTGTCTTTTTTCTCTCTGTTACATTTCCTAATAAAAAGGTAAAAAATTAAATTTTCCGTTAAATCTTGAACATCATTATTACAACATTGAAGACCCTTTAAAGAAAGATAAACATTCACAACTCTTTTCTTTCTCTAATAATTTTAACTTGTCATTTGTGTATAGTATCACCTGAGCTTTGTCTTCATAAATTTATAATTTTAACAGAGCTATCAATAATGGTTCAGTGGAAATAATGAAATTATTATGACTTATTTTCTGTTAACCATTAAGTTGTAAACATAGTTCCATATTACTCTACTGTCTTCATATTAGTTTTATTTATTTAAAATGGCTAATAATAGGAATTATATTTAAATATTTTGTTTATGCCGGACTTTAGATGATTTCGTATTTTTACTATTGTATTAAATGTGATTTGCAATTATACTTAACCAGCTTTTACTTTTTGAGTTATTTCCTTGTATAAATTTACAGAAATGTGAGTACTAATTTTAAAAAATGAATATTTTGACTTTTGACTTTTTTTCATGTGTTGTTGTAGTTCAAGATATTCACACTATCTTAACCTCTCTCACAATGTATGTGTCACTACAGACGTTTTGGAATTTCTTTTAATGGATTCTGAGCATTACTTTTCAAAAGATTAAAAGAAAACTTTCATAGCCATATAAAGTAAGGACTATGTCCCTCACCTTGCTATCTTCTGATTAGAATAATATCCTTACCTACAAAAATATTAGATGTTTGCCACTCAAGTCTTGTTAACTAGACAACATTCCATAGCATTTTCTCAACTTTTATATCCTTCTTTCTCCCTCACTACCCACCTACAGTTAAATTCTTTTTTAGGGCTTTCTCCCAAATTTATCTCCTCACCTCCATTCCCGGTATAATCATCTTAAATTTGGATTCTGGTTTCTTGTGCCTAGAATGATTACATTCTCTTCCTAACTGGTATCCCTTTAGTTCTTCTCCTCTTCAGTCCCTATCCCACATTACTTCCAATTATACTTCTAAATTCCAAATGTAATCACCTTATTTCTTTACTTATTTAAAACTTTCAATAATAAAACCCTGGCTTCAGAGCATAGCTTACTATAACCTTTATAAGCCAGTTCCTCTTTGTTTTTCAGTAACTCGTAAATACCTTTATTATAACACTGATGTCATTATTTTACATTTTATTCAACCAGAAATATGTTAGAATTCAGGAATATATAGACTGCTTACTAAGTGTCAGGCACTGGGGATACACTGATGAGTGATGTGAAAAAGTTACTTCTCTGGTGTTTATATTTTATCTGGTCAAACAACTTATAAACAAACAGATAAGTGAATAAAATCATTGTACATGGTGATAGGCATAATGAAGAACATTAAACAAGGTGATATGATACACTGTAGTCTAGTGTACCAGTCAAGGTGCAAACAGGAAACAGGAGGCCTAGTCGCTAATATTTTGAATAGAATTTAATGAAAGTGCCATTGTCCAAGATCTGGGCGGGATGAAGGGAACCCATAAGGGATGTTGAGGCACCTAGGACTACAACATCTTGAAGCATTT